GAGAATTTTAGAATGTGAGCAGTAACTTATGCACCCCCCTGAATCACTGTCTCGTGTTAACGTTCCAGGGGCCTGCAGTTATTACTGGAAATACTTTTGTCTCATTTCTGCTCTTCGTGAATCGAAGGAAAACAAGTACCCCATTGAGATCGTAGGGTCTCTTGGGAGTAGTATGTTTGAGCCGTTATCAAAATAGATGTAAAACAGTGTTGCCCAGGTGCTTGGGGCGGGGGGGTGGAGCACATTTTTAGCATAAAATGCTTTCTTCATCGTTGAGTACAAAAGCTACCAGGGAAGGTTTTTCAAGGGCAGAATCTTTGTAGACTGTGACATGGATCAAAGACTGTTGGGTGGGTGATCACAGCCAACAATAATGAACTAAGGGACTCAATGGGAGGGCTTGGAAATTAGAGAAGTTTTCCTCCAGCAAAGAAGTTCTTTAGAACGATGTTGATTTGTTTTTCAAGACATAAACCAGTGTTACTTAGTGAAATCAAGGTTATCATCCATATATGTCAAGACAAATATATCAAAACAGAACATGTGGCCAAAGGATACCGGATTCACCGTAAACCATGTCTATATGCTTAGCTGGAAGTCTGTCATATATGAAAACACTTGTGACCCATGTATTTTCTTCCCATTCACAGTGCAATTTTTATAAGAATGCCACCTTTTCCTGTAGCTTTGGGAAGATTTCTTTACCCCCATGTTGTCATTTATTCGTTTGTCACAGCACATTTCAATCATTTGGTCCCATGTGAAGAATTCATTGAGTCTCTGAAGCATGATCTCTGCCTCTAGGGATGTTTGTGTGTACATGAGCATCTGGGGCTGACTTGAAGCTAGAATCATCACACTTAGTTGTGTTGTGATTTGTTGACACACGAATCTTTGTCTTTGTCTTCTTTGTAAGGTCCTAGATTCCACAAGAGGTAGGAACTACAGGCTCAAGGTGGTTGGCTCATTCATATGCAGTGAGGATTCAGACATAAATGAACTTAAGAACTCATCCTAAGGCCCTATGAAAAATTCGCCTGCCTTTAAAATGTTTCTCTTTGTCACTGAAGAATTATAGATGTAGTAGTAAACTGGAATTCTTCCTTGTATGTGATCTAAACTCTGATATGGAGAATTTGACAATTCCCCTTCTGTTTCTGAAGAAATCTTAAAAATCTTTAGACAGTCATTCAGAGAAGGGTTATCCATAAATTTGGTTGCTATTATTGAATCATCCTTGAATGTTTTCTGTAATGTAACTCCAGTTCTTAGGGCACTCATTTTGTAAATAATTGTGTTATAATAAGATAAGCATTGGATAACTCATTTGTGTATGTGCTCCATTGCTCAGTGCTGCCTGACTCTTTGCAGTCCTATGGACTGTAGCCCACCAGGCTCCTCTGTCCATGGAAATCTCTAGGCAAGAATACTGGAGTGGGTTGCCACCTCCTACTCCAGGGGATCTTCCAGATCCAGGGATTGAACCCACATCTCTTGGGTCTCCCGCATTGGCAGGCAGATTCTTTACCACTGTGCCATCTGGGAAGCCCCAGTAACTCATTTAGTGCCATCTATCTGTATTTTTATACTACTTTTATCCTTATTTATATCAAGACACACTTTTATTTCCTTTAAAACTTCTTACAGGTTTTTTTTTTCTTCTTTTTTCACAATTAACTTTCCAGAAGCCTTTGCATTTTTCTTATTTTCCCCTTGATAGCAGCTCCCATGGTTTTGCCGTGGATTTCCATTTTTGTCAAAGGTATTTCTTTAAGGTTTTGAAAAATTAACTAGATTTTTACTTTTTTTTTAATTTGTGGAATGATTTTCCTAGTTTCTTCATATTGTTTCTTAATGGGCGATCCAGCTCACTTGGCCTAGTGAACCCATGTAGCAGCATCATATTTAATGTTCATCAAAATAACCCTAAGGTACAAAAAAATAATTTAAAATGTATTATTTTACTTACATACTACTTTTTGGTGGAGTATTTCTATTCTGCATAAGTAATACTCTCCAGGATCTTACGATCTAATGGGTAATATGCACATAAAAGTCGAAAAAAATATCTGGGACATTATGTGATGAGAGTATCCACAAAGGTAGGAGAACCTGGCAGTCATTTTCTGCTAGGGTGGTCTGAGAAGATTCCATGAAAGATTGGAATGGACTGTGAGTTGAATGCTGAGCCTTGGAAGTAATTTTAAGAAGGAAAGAGGGGCAAAGATAGCTCATCCTCGGAGGAAAGCCTGAAGGACACAGCAAAAACGGAATAAATCAAATTGGTGCATCAGGAAGTTCATGTAAGGTAATCATTGTAATGTTGCTGGAAAAGTAGATGAGAGGGAGATGGGAGCAGAGATTTTGTTGGCTAGATGAATATTTTATATTTATTCCGGAGGCCATAGGAACCTATTGATTTTTTTTTTTTTAAGTTGGGTTAATGACATGATCAAAGGCATCATAGGCAGAGGAATATGACTGTGGTATGCAGCGTGGATTAGAGGGGGACAGGACAGAGGCAAAACGCCCGGTGAGAAGATAACTGCGATCATCCAGGTGCGAGCTCACACAGGCCTGGCTTAGGGGCCTGCCAGAAGGGCCTTGTTGCAAAGGATGAGAATATAATTCTCAAAGAGGAAGAGGAACTAATTTGAAAGGAAATATGATTAGTGTGTGTGTGTGTGTGTGTGTGTGTGTGTGTGTGTGTGTGTGTGATGAGTCGTTTCAGTAGAAGTTAACAATAGTGGGTTAAAAGCGGGGGTGTAGTGTGTGGTCATGCCTTGATGCTGGAAAGTGAACAGATTATGAAGTGAACAGAAATTCATACTGACTTCTCCGGAACAAAAAAGGGAAGAAATGCTGTTTGGAAAACCTTTTCCCCCGCTTTCTAACTAGTTATTATTGTTTGGCTCTTCCTAAGAAAGCAGAGGCTTGGGTTTCTTTTTAAGTAAGTATAAGGAGCGCCATGTAGAATGGGCTTCCCAGGTGGCGCTAGTGGTAAAGAAGCTGCCTGCCAATGGAGAGGATCCTCTGGAGGAGGAAATGGCAACCCACTCCTGTATTCTTGCCTGGAATATTCCATGGACAGAGGAGCCTGGTGGGCTGCAGTCCATGGGGATGCAAAAAGTTGGACACTACTGAGCGCATGCGCACAAATACACACACAAGGAGAGCCATGTAGATTGCAAAGATCTGGTAGTAGAATACTAATTAACCCCTAGAAAATGACTAGCAACATTCCCTTGATGCAAAATAAATTTTCAGCAAACATCACAGTGAAAAATGATTCATTTTAAGTTCAGATTCTAAATCCTTTTATTCTCAGCCATGACCCAGTCAATCTGGCTCCTTTGACTTATCCTTGGTTTTCTGTGAGTGTAATAATACAATGACACTGTAGTGTGCTTCTGTTGATACAATTAATATTGCTCTTAATATTTAACCTATTATGTTAAAAAGTAGTTGCTTTTATTATTATAAATGCCCTGAATTAGAATGCTAATTTAGTCAGTTTTGATAGGCTCATCTCAAGTTATAATGTACAGGCTTTTTTTCTTTTTTTTTTTTGAAGTCATGCATCCTTAACCAGGTTTCTGTACTTATAAGTGGTTAGGTATTACTTCCTGTTGAATTAGCAGTTGCTGAATAGTTGAGTCTTTCTACAATCCTGCAATTCACTAATGTGATATTTAATGAGGAGACATCAGTCTGGAGAAAGGTAGTCAATATAAATCAGTGTTTACAAAGTGTGATTAACTCTGAAATATTTCATCAATGCTGTGGTCCCAGGCAGACTCTATGCTAATTACTAGAATCTGTGCATGTTTCAGGGGACTTGGATGGACCCTGAGTATTGCAAACATGGAGCAGCAAAATTGCAATTATGCTCGGACTGTCTCTGATGACAATTTATGCATTTGGTGTGATGACCTCCCCCTTCCCAAGAGGGCAATAAACAGAATGCATTTTCATTAAGATACTAATGCACTTAATCACAAGGGGAAAGGGTTAGGAAGTAACGAAAGACCTTCAAGCACTATGTGACAGAGTTGATAGGGGAGAGAGGCTTTATTTTAAAGGCAGCTTCTCTACAAAGCTGTAGGCAGCCCCAGAGCACTTCCCACACAGTATCATTGGCCCTAATTGAAAAATTTCAAGTTAGAGTTTGGATCTTCTTCTGATGACATTTTTATCATTTCACATGTGTTGTTACTAATGTAAATGATGTAGACCATAACATTAAAAGTATAATGTCATAGCTGTTTATTTTTATATCTAACACTTCCATGCAGTTTGAGTTTGGGATTAATTATGCAAGTAATGTAATAAACATGATGATGATGGTGATGGTGAGAACAGTAATGATGATGGTGATGATGGTGATCATCCATCATCAGTAGACATTTTCCAAGAGTAAAATTGTATTGTAACGCTCTGGTAAGTGATGAAGTGAGAACCATATATAACTTTAGTCCCTACCCTCAAGGAGGTTCCTGCGCAGTTCCAAATTAGCCTGCTGATCATTTTTCACAGTGGGATTTATACTGTTCAACGTCAGAAGGACAGGAAGCCTGATGCATCAGACGATTAGCAACCAAAAGAAATCCAGGATGGATGATGTAGTTGTACGGTTTTGATGTTTGTGTTTTTTTATGGAAATAATCTGCTGGGAAATTTCTTTTCGATCCTAAGACTTTGGGAGACTGCTACTTTGCCTGAATGGAAGGAGCATAATGTTTTAAAGGCTAATTTTAAGCCCAGTTTTCTGAAGACCTTCACTGTATATCTCCTCTGTAGCTGCTCATCATTCAGGGCCTCTCCAGTGGTTGTAGCTGAGCATTTGGCTTCATGATATTTGCGACACCCTCATGACTCCTGTTGACGTTTATTCGAGGGAAGAGGGCAGGAGTAGCAGGGTTGGCGTTATCAGGGGGATGCTAGGATTGCCTGGGTCTTGCGAACCTAACAGCTTCTTTTCTTCACACTCTGTGTTTTAGGTAATATAGAATATAGCTGCCCTGCCACGAATGAATGTGAAATCACGAAGCGCAGACGTAAATCCTGCCAGGCTTGCCGCTTCATGAAGTGTTTAAAAGTGGGCATGCTGAAAGAAGGTAAGGCTGGGTGATAGTGGCCATGTGCTTTAGGTTGGGGATGGGAGAAGGGGATGGACAGGGAATTTCAAAAATGTTGGAGAAACCAGGACATGCTGGGATCACAGTAAGTACCCTGAATCTGGTGGCAGAATGCTCCTTCTTTCCACCTGAGCTCTTGATCCCTCGTGCCTGCTTGACAGCGACAGGAAGGGACAAGGCAGGAAACATCTGATGTGCAGCTAAAACCACAGGTATGCTTGGCAGTGTGGGTTCTTTTCGTCTTTGCAATTTGCAGAAAGCAGAGGGTGAAAAGCAGCTAAGAGGCTACTATCACTGTCTTTTTGCTTTTTTCTCAGTACTACATATACAGAGAGATCCCCTCATCTTTACGGAGGTATAATTCATAAAAGTCGTATTTATTTAAAGTATATGATCTGTATTTCATTATATATATATATATGTATTGTGATCTAATCAGCATAATCAAGCTAATTAACATATCCATCACTTCATTTCATATGTTTATCTTTGTCTTTCTTTCTTAAAAATTAATCTTAGATGTAAAGCATTTGCTTTTCTTTTCTAATCTTTGGGACTTATTTTCTACTATAAAGACTTTATAACAGTGCTATTTAAATTGTTGCTTTCAGTTGGGGATAGTAGCAACAAACACAAAATAGTAACAGTGAACATGTATTTTGTGCTAAACAAATTGCCTAAGTACGCACACCAAACAAGTCCTAGAGACAGGAGCTGGACCCAGATAAATTCTAGAATTCATTCAAGTCCCTCACTGATAACTAAAGGCCCTGAAATCTTCGTATGTTTCAAGTATGTCTAGTGAAGCTTGGGGACAGAGAAAAATTGTTCTTTTCTGTGGGAAACCTCAGTTTAATTTTTGGTTTATTCTGAATATATTTGCATATATGTATGTGCTTCTGTAGATGTGAATTTTACATACTTCATTTAGATTTTACTGTTTCCTCTTCAGAAAATTTGCCAATGTTTAAAATAACTGAAAAAAAAAATAAAATAACTGATAATTTTATACAGTAACAAAATGAAAATACGGTCATTGAAGTTTGAAAGAAATTGAGGTAAATTAAATATTTAAATGTGTTGTTTTTATTGAGTCATAGACTATGTCTTATTCCTGGGGCCAGCCTTATGAGTTTGTATAATTTGTTGTTACTGAAGATCACCTATTGTTTTCACTTTTAAATCCGAGGAGATCCAAGTGTTTATTTCCCATGAATGAACCAGAGCTTCAGTTAGCTATGGCATCAACAGATCTCATAATTTCTCCTGGCTCTTTCTTATTCCAGCTTTTTTTCTGTGAACAATATCGTTGGAAGATGAGTAGATCAGACAATATTTGGGTACATGGAATTCACTCTATTTTTCTCTTGTTCACTAAGAAATAACTTCTCCCTTAACTAAGAACAACTTGAAGAAAAACTGTAAACAAACAAGTGTGTAACTTTATCCTTAAAGCCTTATGGAAAAAGAACCAAGATATTTTGCCAAGAATAAAATAGAAAGCAAATTGCCTACAGCCACATGGATGGACCTAGAGATTATTATCATACTAAGTGAAGTATATCAGAGAAAGACAAATATCATATGATATCACGTATATGTGGAATCTAGAAAAAAATGATACAAATAAACTTATGTACAAAACAGAAACAGATTCACAAGCATAGAAATCTATGATTACCAAAGGGAAAATCAAGGTAGTGTGGGATAAATTAAGAGTTTGGGATTAATGGATATATACTACTATTTATAAAATAGATAAACAACAAGGACAGGGAACTGTAGCACAGGGAACTATATTCATATCTTATAATAGCATATAATGGAAAAGAATCTGAAAAATATATGTATATATATAGATATATATAATGGGATCACTGTGTTGTACATCTGAAACTAATACAACGTTGTAAATCGAATATTCAGTAATAAAAGAAGAAAACAAATTACCTATTAGAATGATTAAATTTATATATATTTTATATAAACAATGCCTTTTTAAATTTGTATGACAAAATTTTATAGAAATTTATATTTTAATAATTTATATTAATACACACACACTGATGGTATGTGTATGGAGAAATGGAAGAAAGGATAAAGATTGGTAACAGTGTTATACTGGTGAATAAAAATAAGGGTGAGAAATGCTTTTGTTTTTTGCTCTATAGCCTTTGGCACTGTTCAGAGTTTTCCACAGTGAACATGTCTTACATTTATAATCCATTTCCTAAATATTTAGTAAGTTGCTCTCATATGCCAGGCACTATTCTAGGCTCCAGAGATGCCACAGTGAGAATGATGGATATTGTTGTTAGAGGAAGCTTATGTGAAAAATGCCAAAAGAACAGCAATTTTAACACAGGTAAACATACCCTAACAGTAACAACCCAACTCATAGGACAGAGTTTTCCTCTGAGTTAGAACGGTGGTGATAGCTGACATTATTGTGGTGGAAAACCTTATCTTAGTGACTGCCTTAAACCCAGTAACAGAGTACCAGACAAAACATATTTCAGAGTGTCACAAGTGATTGATTGATAGTCATTTTTGGTCTTTGTTATCTTTATGTTGCCACTTAATTGAGCTGTGCATGCATTCATGTCAGTTGTGTCTGACTCTTTGCACCCTTACAGACCGTAGCCAGCCAGGCTCCTCTGTCCATGGGATTCTCCAGGCAAGAATACTGGAGTGGGTTGCCATGCCCCCCTCCAGGGGATCTTCCCAACCCAGGGATCAAGCCCATGTCTCTTATGTCTCCTGCCTTGGGAGACAGGTTCTTTATGATCTGGAAAGCCCCTAGTTGAGCTGTAGAGACTAATGCTTATTTAAAAAGGCTTAACTTTGAGTTTGGAATTGAGGAACCTCTATTTTTCAAAAGCAAATCAATGTTTTAAAACTGTTATAAAAATAACGTATCGATTAGCACTTAAAAATTTTTTTTTTGGCCATATCATGTGGCATGTGGGACCTTAGTTTCCCAACCAGGGATTAAACCCACACCCCTCATGCTGAATGGGTGTGCCCTGGATTAGGATTGTTTCTTCAAAAACTAAAGTACCTGATATGCCTCCATGTCCAGGTAGATAGAATTATTTTTCCATTAGTTTGATTTTACTGCTACTGTGTACTCACCTATTTGTCCTTCCAGGTTTAAGGAGGAAGTAGAAAACATATTTTCCCTTAAGTAATTTTCCCCATGGTGTTTTCAGGCAGGCGCAACCTTGAAGGGTGGTTAGAGTGACTGAAGAGGTGTGAACTGTGTTTAATTAAACATTGTTGGTGAAAGTAAATGGGATGGGTGCTTATCTATAATTCACACCTCTTCAGTTGCCGTTATCAAGCCTTTAGAGGGACTGTTTTCAAGGGAATTGCTGCTATTGCTGATATACTCAAAAAATAATTTATTTTCCTTTACTTCCTTGTGTGCACTTTGGTGGAAAAATATCTCTAAGCCCCCTCCCCAAAGAGAAAAAAGGGGATGGTTATGAGTAAATATGGAATACTCTTTTTTCTTTTGTCCTTAAAAAATACAGTGAAATATTGTATTACACCCTGCATATAAATGCACAATTATATTGGGCCATCTCCTTGGCTCAAGACTTACCTTCTCAGCCTGGAGAGAATGATACTGTCTTAAATATATCTTTATGGATGGAGAGGGATTTCAGTCCCATGCAGTATGTCAGAGATCATGATGTAGTAAATCTATTCAAATGTAAACCTGTTCAATTCAATTACCAGTCCATAATAAAATTTGCCTCTACAACCCCCGTGTTGACCACAGCAGTCCATACAGTCTGATGGCACAGCGGGTCTGGAAATTGACAGACAAAATCTATTTAAACAAAAAACAACATTAGTTCTAGAATCTGAAATGAAATCAGATTTCAACAGCTTTGATGGGAACCTTCTTTCCTTTAACAGGTATTTTTATTCAACTAGCCAAGTGCATCTTAGATAAAATGCTGCCTGAGGGAAATGAAGACATTTTCATTAAAAAAGGGGGTTTATAGAAAAATGAAACATCCATTCTTTTAAAAATAATAAGCCTTGGTTTTATTGACTGGCATTTCTACTAATGATGTGGGATACAAACTTGAAGGAGTGGCTTAGTCAGTCAGTAAACAAGTTCAATTACTTCACACTGGGATTAAATTCCTGTAAGACGTGGCTTCTCATTAGTACCCGAATCCTATCCAAATGAACTATGTTTGTCTTTTTGTTTTTTAGGGTTTTTTCTTGAGATTTGTTTTTGGATGTGGGCCATTTTAAAATTCTTCATTGAATCTGTTACAGTATTGTTTTGTTTGGATATTTTTGGCTATGAAGCATATGGAGTGGGATCTTACCTCCCCAGCCAGGGATGGAACCCGCACCCCATGCATTGGAAGGTGAAATCTTAACCACTGGACCGCCAGGGATGTCCCACATGTTTTGTTTTAAGATTAGAATTTCTGAATCAAAAAATTGTTACCAATGGAAGCAAAGAAACAGTTATGTGAGGAAAACGACAAAATTCAACAATAAAGCAAAACTGTGAGAAGTACAGTTAAAAAAACAAAAAGTAGCTTGTTTGAATCCAAATAGTTGCACCATTTCCACATCCTGAAAAATCCCCTTCTCTTTTCTGGGTTCTACGTTCCGCTAAGGAATGATGGGCCAGCATTATTTTTTTTCAGCATTATACCATACTGTATGTCAGGGAAAACCCATCTATTACAAGATATCTGGTCTCAACATTCCCTTTTCATTTTTTTCAGGTATTGTTTATTTGAAGGAGAAAACAAGAACTAATCAAGGTGCACCTATAAATCTGGTCAAGATTTATTTTTATTTTGATCTCTCCCCCTTAGTTATTTAAAAGGTATTGCAGGACATACAGGTTCAGTTTTCCCTCTGTCAGTGGCAAACAGAGACATTTTATGAAAGCAATAATTATTTTATTTAGGTATAGAATTCACTGATCAAAGATTGAA